GGAACCGGTTCCTGCATATGTAGGAACCGGGTTCTGCTGTAACTTTTGGAAAATATTAAACTTTGAAAATTCATAACTTTCAAACCGTAAGTCCGTTTTGAGTGCCGTTTTGGACGTTATTTCTTAAATTTAATGCTCTATTTTATAAAATGAAAAGATTTCCTAAAACCTGAAATTATTTTGAAAATGAGTCAAATCTCGGAATAAGTGATTATTGGCTAACGCACATGGGTGTGTATGTAGCAGTGAACCTGTGATGGATGGATGTATTAGTATTGTATGAATGAAAGGCATGTTTATGTTGCTAATGATGGTGTGCATGATCGTTGAGATATCATGTTTTTGGTTTTGGTTCAGTTATGATAAATTGATGTATTTCATAGACTGATTTGATGTTGCATGCTAGTGATGTGCGTGCATATGCATTGTTTTGGTGAAGTTAATTCCCATTGTGTGGAATTTGACTTGTATTGCCGTTAACCGATACCCGGGTGATGATGGGTGGTTAGGCTGGATTCGTGTCCGGGTGTTTATGGACGAATCGATGGTTGCTGTGTCCAGTTGATGATGGATCAGTGTTGGGTGACTTGGTCACGTGTTGGTACCACATGCATTGTGTCTGCATTTGTGTTTGCATGGAATTGTAACATGTTAGGATGTCTTCCAGTGTTACAATTATTTGGTTGATTATTGATTTGTGCATAATGACTTGTATGATTTGAACTGCGTGTCGAATATGAATTTATGCTAAAATGGGTGAAATAATATGCTTGTGATATAATGTTGATTGAGAAGCTTATAATACATGTTAATTATGAGAAATCTCACCCTTACTTTAACAATTTCAGATTAAAGTTAGCAGCTCAGGAGTTGGTGAGGATGGCTCTAGAGCTATGTTACTTTAAGTCCGCGTGTCAGTGTCGTGCTCTGATAGGTTGTAACACTGGGGAACGTTTAGTTGAGGAATTAGTTATTGTTCAATTGTTTCTTTGAATTTCATTGAGAATAATTATGTTTTGGTTTATTCCGTTTTGGTTATGGTATTTTTCCGCTGCGTAAGACATGGTCTTAATTTGATTGAATTATTTGAATAATGACCCTCAGTGTAGCATGACTATTGTTTTATTGGAAGTTTTATTTATTTCATAATTGTGACATCCCTTGTTCCGTGTTAACTCTGATGGAATATGTCTTTAATCATTGATATAATTAATATTATTCGGGGTATTTTAGAAGGGGTGTTACACAAGGGAGATCTTGTGAGAAAATTCTTGATAAGTGAGAGGGAAAATTTTGGGGTACAACAGAGTGTATATGGAGTCTATGGCCATTTTTATCAAAGGTTTCACAATAAAGTAACTCTCTTTGAAGTGACAGATAGACTCCAGATAAGGCCTAAAGATTTTCCCAAATTGTTTGAAGGACACCCATGCTTTTCCTCCTCCAATGCATTGTCTTTGTAGGTGAAAGATACGAAAGAAAAGGGGCAGCATAGTGCCTATTTACAGATACTAGCAGACGAGCTCGAACACCCACATGAATGCCAACGCGTTTGGGTGAAGTTGAGCGGGTGACAATTGAAGCCGCTGGAAAACCCCCACTTGAAAATTATTGAAGGGCAAATGCATCCCCGCCTCTCTAAACACGAAATTGTACATGGGAAAACATTTTCCCGGATATGTCGAGCAGATCCTCTGGTTGCAATGAGAAATTTTGAGAATCTAGTTGGCGGGGGCCTCTTCCGCTCAAACCTCTAGACAGCTGAACGCGTCTGTTGCATCATGCAAAAAGCACGACCTTTTATTTCGAGGCTCATATGCGACCCAGACCAAGGGGTCCTCTTTGACGTTGGTTTCGTCTTCGTGGTTGGAGGGCAAGACATTGTCCCCGACCGAGTGTGCCATTATACTTGAAAAGTAGGGGAAAACAGTAAATTTGACATCATCAAATTCACCCTTCCACCGCATATCAAGTGAAAGGGTGATGAAGCGGTCAAGGAGCAGACCTCGACCTAAGTCCTCGACTGCACACTAAAATGGACTACACTTCTATTATGGATATCTAGTCAAACAGGAAAGAAGCCCGAGTCAACCCCTACTATTCGGGGAGATTGTCCCCTACATCATGAAAATTAAACTCATGAACTTCAATGAACATTCATGAGTGTTCATCCCAAAACTCATGAATGTTCATCCAAGATTCATCCAACCAAGGCAAAAACTAGGTGTTTAATCTAGAAACGCTAAAGAAACATGTTATTAAAGGGATGTGACTTTTGGATGAAGGATACTTGGAAGAAATCTGAAGAAGTTGGGAGGAGAAGGTCCACGCGCGAACAAGGAAAGTTGCAGAAGAAAATTTGAGAAATAATAAATAAAACCTTGGGGTCCCCCTTTTTATAGGCGGCTCACACCCCACGAGGTTCATTACGAAAAGTCATCATTGGATTAGGCCTTTTGGACTCCCCATGAAGAGATGGCACCCCAAAGTAACAGCCACGGGGCCCAACAATCAGCCACATATCCATTCTCAAGAGACGAACACGTCCCCAACTTCAACACAAAACTCCGTATGCGAGCATGAGGCAGACGTCTCACACAAAGGAATGCTCGACACAATGGCTAAAGCATGCATACATGCACATTCGCCGTGATCCACCTTGAGGGAGAAATAACCCTCGATATCGTGACAATCCCTTGAAGACAGGCACGTCGAAAAAGAATTTGTGAAGCTTCCCGTAGCCTATATACTCCCGTCGAACACTGGACGAACAACTAACCCAGTTGGTCTCGCAGCTCGCGTGTCCACAAGATCCATGACACGGTCAAACAGGTTGTCCCCGACACATGCAACAACTTGTTTCCTTCAAAGGACTTCGACCTCCCTTCTCGAGCAAATTCTCCCCGGCCATAAAGCTGAATTTAAGTCATCACCCTTTCACCTAGGGGGCTCCTGATCTGAACTGGGCATGCACTTTCCCCACTGCTGGGAGGCCCAATCCAGCACCCTTGCATAAGGCCCAAAGGCAAGCAACCCAAGCTAGAGGTCGTTGGGCAACTCCCCAAGCGTCCGTTAGGGAACGTGACCCACATGTTCGTATCATTGTCATCATAATTGCTCTCCGAAAATCACGGGTCCAACACCTATTCTTTCGTGGCAGTTGACCAGGGGGGAGTCCAAGTGCTGGACTCCATACACACGTAAGCCATGGCAGCCTTCATTGTTGGACCTCATCATGGCCAATATTGGGGACCTTGGCGCAATGTTGGGGGCTATAAATACCCTCTCATTTGAGAGAGTCAGGTATTCATTATCTCATACTCATACTCACACTTGCTTGCATTCTCCCTGAAACTTACTTTGACATCAGAGTATCTTGCAGGTAGCCCCTATCTCGCTTTCAACCACAGCTCGACGTAAGACCTTGACGATCCATTCTGGTCAGGTACGATCAATATATATATATATATATATAAGACTTCTTATTTATCACAATACATCTGATTCATCTCTAAATGTTAGAAATATTTCTTATTGTAGTATTGACAATTTTTATAGTCATTACAAATATTTTTCCATCCAATTTTATTAATAACAATTCTTTTTTGTTTGTGCAGTATTTACTTACATACAAAAGAGGTAGTAATGGACAAAGATGTTGCAGTACCTATGGACAAAGATGATAATGGAGGAGCTCAAAATCCCCATCCCAACAATTTAGGTTACAATGTCGAATTGTTTTGAAAGAAAGAAATCACAAAATCTTATAAGGGAGGAAAAAATTACATGGTGATATATCATTCTAAATATTTTTCGAAATTATATTTTCATTTATTTTGTATTTCATATTTATTGAACGAAAACTGACAATACATTTATTTTTTGTAGAATATTCTAGTTGATATTGTTAGTAAATGTTTCTGTGCTGATCATACCACTTAAACATTGATGGATATTGATGAAATGCAACTCCAAGATTGTAAAATTTTTAAGGGGAAAAAACCACGTGCTGAGATCTATCTTGGAAAGGATTGATATGAGTATGCAAATTCAAGAAACTTAAATGTTGAAGATGTCTTGATTTTTTATTACCTATCTGATTCTAAGACACTTTATGTTAATCATGTGAGAAAAGACAGATTGAAGTATGCAATAAGTGATGACTCCGATTAATTTTTCTTTATCCCAATTATTTTTTTTATGTTTGTTTTAATATAATTTATTAATATGTTTTTGTCTTTTTATTTCAGAAGATTAACATCAATCATTTAATTTCAATCCTAATGTAATATAAATATATATATATATATATATATATATATATATATATATATATATATATATATATATATATATATATATATATATATATATATATATAAAGTTGATATTTAAAGTTGATATTTCAATCCTAATCATTTAATCAATATCAATATATATATATATATATATATATATATATATATATATATATATATATATATATATATATATATATATATATATATATATATATATATATATATATATATATATATATATAAAGTTGATATTTAAAGTTCATATATTGATTCTACAACATAGAGATTAGTCACTGAAATATTATTTAAGTTTTCATCATTGGTATTATAGCTGATCTTTTCAAGTTTTTGTTAATAAAAAATAAGGAAAAAGTCAAGAATAAAAGTCATCTCACCGAGCTAAAATGTTGTTAGCATGGTAGTAAAAATAAATATATGAACTTTAAATATCAACTTATCAACTTTAAAAATCAAAATATTTCTAAACACACGGAATAAATCCCCTCTCCCGCAAAAACTGAAAGCTTAGTATGTACGTCTACTATTTTTGCCCGAAAACGATCTCCCACTTCCATCACTCCTCAACTCTTCCCCTTCCCAAATCTGCTATGCATTCTCTCAAATCTCAAAACCCTATTCTCACTCTTCTTCTCCCTAATCTTTAGCAAACCAAACCTTTTTTTTTTTGCAGACTCATCCATGGACTCACCGCTTTATTTGTTTTCCGCTAAACGCAAAGCTTCAACTGGTATACCATTTTTCATTTCTTTTTCTTCATAAATCTAGTGTACCTTTCATCATCGTGTATATTGTCTTTTACTTTCGTTTCTCTTTAATCTTCTATGATGGTTGCTCATTTTTCTAAACGATATATAACTCTTCTTTCAAAACCCTCTAGGGCATGAATTAGAGGGCAGGGCAGAGAATCCAGTTGCATGAAATGGAGGTGCTGACTGTACACCATTAGGGTTTCGTTTTGTGGGGACCTAATTGTTTTCATATCATAACCTTCCTGCTAAAAACACAAAACTTATGGTTCAAACTTTTGTTATTTTATTGAAACTTTTATTTCGTTTGGACAAGCTGGGGAGTGGACTTGAATCGGTGAGCGGACTTTAGAATTTTTTCCCTTGTTACATTGTATTCTACTCCCTTAGAATGCATGCACAAATGCACGTTGCACAATGTTCTTATTCATGTATAGTTTATCTTCCTTTAATAAACAGATGTTCTTATTCATGTATTTGGAATTGTCTAGTTTTAGTCAATTTCAAGCAAAAAAGCCTTAATGGCTATTTGTATCATGCAAATTTTAATACATTTCATTTTATGAAACCAGAAACTTCATCTAAGGAAGGATGCAAAAAACCAAGATTTTCAAGTGGTAGCTTGCCAAATTCACATGTTAGTGTTGTAGATGACAAAAATCCGCTTGCCATCTCAAATGTCACAGATTGTTCAGAGAGCAGAAAATTTGGAAGCGTGACAAAGAATATTGAAGCCCTTATGACCCAAAGAATGCAAATATTGGGCCCTTACATCCCAAAATATCCTAGACTTGCGAATCAATTAATGAAAGTGGTGACAGATCTTGATGAAAAAACTCGCAACTCAGAAAATAAAAAAGTTACTAGTATGTCACATCCAAATGTCATGGATTTGGATGGGGGGCACATTGAAAAGGATGCTTTGACACCAAGAAGAGAAAAGGATGTTCCTGCAGCACCAACTGTTGTCATCATTGATTCAGATGAGGAAGATGATAGGGATCAAAAGTGTTTTCTTCCATTTCAAAAAGTTGTATTGCCGAAACCAGATCAGTCTCCTGCATTAAAAATGATTGTAAGCTTTTCCCTGCTTTTGTAACCCTTTAAATATGCCTTTTATTTGGGTTGTATTCCTTTTGGACTGATTTGACTGAATTATTGTGTTTCATTCTTGTAAATTCATAATTGACTTTTTCTTGTATTTTAATCTTTATCTTAATTCTGTTTTTTTTTTCTTTCAATAATGCATTGCCTAGCAGAATTTTCTGGAGATGAAGAGGCCAAAGTTATAACTTAGTCATACATATATTTGGAAGACATGGTTTAAAAAGTTAAATATGTAGTTTATCTATTTTATAACTCATTCTATACTTTTACACTTTTGCTTACTATGTCTTTGTACCATATATAACTTATCATCATTATTCATTCATCTTTGGCTTTATTCAGTAAAAGATGGATATATAATTTTATTACATAGCCTAAATGTTGCATTTCTTTTAGTTGTTGTAGCAGTTCTCTCCATTGAATCCTGTGTGTTTTAGTTGTTGTAGCACATTCTCCCAACAACTTCAACAATTATATGGTGAATTGATCCCCATTTTACTGTAATGTTTCACTGAAGTGAAGTTTGACCTTTACTCTTAAGTGTCCCAGTTCAATAATCATTTGGTGAATTGGTAAATTTGAATCTTTCAATACAGTATAAAATTTCCGATACCTTGTTGCTTGGCAGTTATGCAAATTATAAATTTAAAAATGGAAGATAAAATAATGGATGTTTGGATTTATATTTATCTGAATGCCATTCTATTTCTACCTTCCTTTTTTCCTTTGCTCCTATGAGGCTACATCACCCACCATTATTGTTGAAAGATGTTACATACGGGGTTTTCCATTTATTTTTCAGAATAGATTGCTTGAAATTTTTCCAGTGATTGTTAGATGCTCATAAAGGTAGATAGATTCCTCTGTAAGATTTTGTGTATTATAGGATAAAAAATTGTAGCCACTTCTCTTGAGAAGATACATGTCTTTCTTTTTCCTTTTCCTTGTACAAGTTATTTTCTAATTCTACCTAGCCGACGCCAAAGTGCGAAAAGGAATGTTATTATTGTTGTTTCACAGACATTCTTTACTAATCTCTGCAACAATGCTTTACAGGGCTATCATGCTCCCATTGCTTGTCATGGGGAAAATGCAGATCTAAAATTTGAAACAAGTCCGCATCCTAAAGATAACACATGGGAAGACGAAGATGTTTATGTTGATGCACATGAGGAAGAAGATATTAAAGTTGATGCTGAAACAAGTCTCCCTCCTGAAGGTAACACAAGGAAAGTTAAAGGTGTTTATGTTAATGTACAGGAGGAAGAAGATAACAGGGCTGATGCCGAAACAAGTCTACCTCCTAAAGATAACACAAGGAAAGAAAAATGTGTTTATGTTGGTGTACATGAGGAAGAAGATAAGAAGGCTGATGCTGAAACAAGTCTGCCTCCTAAAGATAACAGAAGCAAATATAAATGTGTTTATGTTGGTGTACAAGAGGAAGAAGATACTAAGGCTGATGCTGAAACAAGTCTGCCTCCTAAAGACAACGCAAGGAAAGATAAATGTGTTTATCTTGGCGTACATGAGGAAGAAGATACTAAGGTTGATGCTGAAACAAGTCTGCCTCCTAAAGACAACAGAAAAGATAAAGGATTTTATGTTGGTGTACACGAGGAAGAAGATAAAAAGGTTGATGCTGAAGATGAGAAGCTAGAAGATACTTGGAGGGAGATGTATATGGCATTAGAAACTTCTAAAGTATGATTACATTCTTTTGATTTTACTTTTCAATAAGAACAACTTTCTTTGTCAAGTAGATTCCCCCCTACTCGTTTGGGAATTTTTTTTTTCTTCATATTAATTTGTTTGCAGTGCTTCCTTAATATACATTTGTTATAGGTTCTGAGACATGGCATTTTCCTTATGAGGACAAAGGGGGAAATTGGAAAAACGGACTATTGTGTGGGAGAATGAATTGATATATATATAAAAAACTAATTAATTTTGTTGATGTTCATTGAAAATGGTCTGTTCATTTCTACCATTATTTAGTATATAGGGTATATGCTGGTGATCATACCGTAGTTCATGTAATGCATACCACATGTAACTTTATGTCATGAAATCTTCTAAATTATCATGTTTAATTATTTTGCTATTACATTCGGCCTTTATTTCTCTCTATTATGCCTGTTATATGTATGTTACTTTCAATATCATGTAACTGAAACCTGAGATAGTTGCATTTGCATATGCATATGCGATTCTTTGGCTGTTAGCATTCTTCTCTATCATTTTGATCATTTTTGTTTAAACTTTGAATTTTACTCATTATAATTTATAGTATCTCCTAGTGTTCCTTTGGTATTAATTTAGTACACCTACTAGGATGTTTCTGCAGATCATCTACTCGGAGAAGAAGAAGAAAAAGATGCTGACTGTGATCACTCTTTTGTTTTAAAAGATGATCTGGGTTATGTTTGTCGCGTTTGTGGGGTTATTGACAGAGGAATTGAAACCATATTTGAGTTCCAATACAAGGTTAGACTCTTGTCTCTGCATTATTGCACGAATTGAGATTTAAAATATGTTTAAAAATTAGAGGCATAGGTTGAATGTCTTTTAAGCATAATAATATGAAGAGTAAAACCTTTAGAGTTTACAATGTTACAGAATGTCTTATAATTTATGGTTTTGGTACCTCTTTTTTTTTGGGAAAATTGGTGATTTATTTTATTCAATTCAATTTCATAAAACATTCATGAACCTCTTTACCGAACCAAAATTATATAATAGCACACTAGGACATTTTATGGCATGGGCTCAATTTCTTTATAAAATAGTTTCTTTGTAAATCTCATTATATCGTAGAGATACAAGTGTAAGTTGGAAGTCTCACATTGTTTGGAAAAGTGGAGGTTGAACACTTTATAAATGAAAGAATCCATACGCCCAGAGCCTTAGGGCCTGTTTGAGAGTTTGGAGGGGAAGGGAGGGAAGGACTTTGAAAAAAGAGAAGGATTGAGTGGAAATAATTGAAAGATTTTGGTTGATAGGGTTTAGGAGGGGTTTGCTTTTATTCATAACACCAAAAATCCCCTAATTTGGATGAACTCAAAATTTGTATTGAAGGAGGGTTTTGGAGGGTTTACATAAATTTTTCAAATATCTTTTATGTTGTCATAGTGTTCTGAAAATTAAAAATATAGTAATGATTAACACTCTTTTATCCTTCTACGCAAAATTATATTTTCAAAAAATGTCAAATATTTTTCTATATTTAAAAAAAAAAAAATCGTTTTTAGAAGCTTTCCCTTCCTTACAAACTCCCAAACAAAGTCTTAAGGCTTTGGGTGAATATGTGGTGTCTCTCTCACTTGTGTGTTGCTTTTGACCTAATGTGGATGCTCCTCCTCATGACCCATCAGTGGTATCAGAGCCGATGGTTCAAGAAAGAGATCAACTCCTTGTATCGAGCGTGAGTTGGAAGTCCCACATTACTTGGAAAAATATAGGTTGAGCACTTTATAAGTGAAAAGACCCATATATGTGGTGTCTCTCACTTGTGCGTTGCTCTTGATCCAATGTGGATGCTCCTCTTCATGACCTATCATATATATGTTCTGCATTAAGATTTATTAGTTGTTATGTATTATCGTATAATTTTATTGAAGGTTAAAAGGAGCACAAGAACTTACATGTCTGAATCCTGGAATGCCAAAGCAAAAGATGATTTATTTGAAGCTAAGATTGCTGAAGATGATCTCATGGTAACTGAAATTTCAGCACATCCTAGGCATGCAAATCTGATGAAACTGCACCAAGTCGAAGGATTCAATTTTCTTGTCAGAAACCTGGTGGGGGACCATCCTGGGGGATGCATTCTGGCTCATGCTCCAGGATCTGGAAAGACTTTCATGATTATCAGTTTCATACAGAGTTTTCTAGCAAAGTATCCCAATGCAAGGCCTCTAGTGGTGCTTCCTAAGGGAATACTGTCGACTTGGAAAAAAGAATTTCAGACATGGCAAGTGGAAGATGTACCACTCTATGACTTTTACACTGTGAAGGCTGAAAGTAGATCACAACAATTGGAAGTCTTAAAACAATGGGTGGATCACAAGAGTATCCTTTTCTTAGGATACAGACAGTTCACTTCCATTGTCTGTGATGACTACAATAACAATGTATCAATATCCTGCCAAGAGATATTGCTTAAGGTTCCCTCAATTCTCATTTTAGATGAGGGACACACTCCCAGGAATGAGAATACTGATACGGTACAGTCCCTTGCAAAAGTACAAACTCCAAGAAAAGTTGTACTGTCTGGAACTCTATATCAAAATCATGTCAAGGAGGTATTCAACGTGCTGAACCTTGTTCGCCCAAAGTTTAAACTGATGGAAACGTCCAAGCCTATTATCCGACGCATTAAAAGTAGGATCCATCTACCTGGTGTGAATGACTTTTGTGATTTGGTTGAAAACACTTTGCAGAAGGACCCGGATTTTAAAAGGAAAGCGGCTGTTATACATGATTTGCGGGAGATGACCAGTAAGGTACTGCACTACTATAAAGGAGATTTTCTTGATGAGCTTCCTGGCCTAGTAGATTTTACTGTGGTGCTCAAACTTACACCTAGACAGATGCATGAACTTGATAAAGTAAAGAGGATATATGGAAAGTTCAAGATGGCTTCTGTAGGTAGTGCAGTATATCTGCACCCAAAATTGAAACCAATTGCAGAGAAATGGGGTGAAAATTCTATATCTGATGATATAATTGATGATCTAATAGCAAATCTAGATGTGAGAGATGGAGTTAAATTAAAATTCTTTCGCAATATGCTGAACCTATGCGAATCTGCTGGGGAGAAGCTTTTGGTGTTCAGTCAATCTCTATTGTCTTTAAAATGTTTGGAACGAATAGCTATGAAATGGAAAGGCTGGAGTGTTGGCAAAGAAATTTTTGTAATTTCAGGAAAATCATCTACTGAAGAAAGGGAGGTTTCCATGGAAAAGTTTAACGGTTCGCCTGAGGCCAAAGTATTTTTTGGGTCAATTAAAGCATGTGGTGAGGGTATATCGTTGGTTGGGGCATCCCGTGTCATCATCTTGGATGTGCATCTCAACCCGTCTGTCACTCGTCAAGCTATTGGCCGTGCTTTCCGGCCAGGTCAGAAAAGGAAAGTGTTTGTGTATCGATTGATAGCTGCTGATTCTCCAGAAGAGGATGATCACAATACTTGTTTCAAGAAGGAGTTAATTTCAAAAATGTGGTTTGAATGGAATGAATATTATGGTGACAGAGCTTTTGAAGTTGAGACATTTGATGTGAAGGAATGTGGTGATCTGTTTCTAGAAAGTCCATTGTTAGGGGAAGATGTAAAAGCTCTGCATAAAAGGTTAACTCTTATTTTTTTGCATATCATAAGAAAAAAACAGTTATTTTGTTTTGTCCTAATTCTTGTTTTATTTGTTGTCAGGTAATCTGTGGCATTCAGCAAACAGTTTTGGCATTGCAAGGGTTGCTGAATTGAATTGGTTGTCTTTACTATTCATATAGTTTACATATGATCCATCTTCCTCACTCCTGGGGGTGGGACAGAGGTGTACAGCCTATTTTAACTTTCTGAACTTGTTTGAATTGCAGATATCTTCTGCTTTAACATTGCTATTGCATCAACTGATTAGAGAAATGTTTTAAAATCATGTCTGTCTGTCTGGTTTTTTGAGCTACGAAAAAGATAGAAGAAAAGCATGAAATCAAATAGAATGAACATGATTTACTAGTTTAAAAGGTTGGATGCTGAAACCAAAGTCTCCTACAATATTTAAAATTGGATATTATATCACAATTTAGGTTACTGTTTTGTCTTAACTCTGATTTCAGCTTAACGACGAAAACTTAATATAATCAGTTTTCTTGTATATTTTTTGTTAACCTCTGTTTATTCATTCTTTCCCTCTCTAATAGTATTCTACTATTACTATACCTCATACAAACATTTCTTTAGGATTCCTCGGTATAGTCTAATTCAGGTACCATTGCTGAAAAGATTCTCAGACCTTTAACTTCAAGATTCAATTATGTTGTGTGCTTTATAGAAGAATTGAATAATGTAACCGCTCTGTCAATGGATGAACTACAAAGTAGTCTGTTTGTTCTTGAGCAACACATGCGATGTCACAAAAAAGAAGGTTAAGATCTTAAGATTTCCAATGATGGAAAAGACTATGGTTGTAGTAGAGGTTGTGGCAGGGGTAGAGGGAGAGGAAGATTCAAAAAAGAAAAATGTAAAAGGCTACAAGTGTCACAAACTTGAACATTTTCAATGTGAATGTTCTAGTTGGCAGGGTAATGCAAGCTATGTTGAATTTGATGAAGAAGGTGAACTACTTATGGATTAAGAAGTTACTGCTACAACTATTAAAGAAGAAATATGATTCTTGAATTCTGGATCCAACAATCACATGATAGGAAACAAGGAATAACAAGGAATGACTCTTTTGATTTTGATGACGCATTTAGAGAATCAGTCAAATTAGGCGACAACTCTAAAATGTATGTGATGGAAAAAGGGAATGTGAAACTTAAAGCAGGAGGATTTATGCAAGTCTTTACTGATGTATACTTTCTAGTTTCTACCTATCCCCAAGAACAATTTGTTAAGCATAGGTTAGCTTCAACAAAAAGGCATCACAATCATCTTCAAGAATGAGTCTTGTAAGGCGTTTCATGAAGAAAAAAAGCTTGATAATGTCAACTCAAATGTATTCTAATTGCATATTTGTTATCTTTACTCCACTCCTTATCCCTTTCTGTTTTAAGACCTCAAAGGAGAAATACACTCACTCTTACATATATAGCCATTTGAGTTTCAAAGGCTTGAGCATATTGACACAAAAACGAAATGGTGAAAGGTCTTCTCAATTTGGAAGGAAATTTCTCTTTCCATCTTTAGAGGTTATCCCACACCATTGTGAAAAAACTAAAATGTCCCGATCGTTCGGAGATACATCTCCAGACGCATTTTTTCCACACACTTGAAGTAAAAATGGTGAGGAATTCTTATTATGTAAAAAATTGATCCAAAAATGTATCTCCATGTACACGAAAGGTTAATCAAAGATGTATCTCTGAAATGCCCCTTAGTTTATTAATCACTGAGGACTGAGGTTTTCAAAGATACATCTCTGGAGTATGCTCTGTTAGATCAAAGCTGAAACAACAATGACATAATGAAATTGAACCAATTTAAAATAACTCAAAAATAAACATTACATAGATAAAAATTACATAAATTTAACATTACATGTTATTAAAAACACGTCGTTCGGAATGTTGTAACATTCTTATAATATCGTCGACTGATCTTTGAATCATCGCATCCACTTCAATCGGACCCTTTGTTGAGTTACGGTAAAAGGTGCTCCATATCACCTTCAAATCATCTTCCGTCTTCAGTTCAAGCATTGGGAACTGTATCTTTCCTTCGTTGTCTATCGAGGGTGAACGGTACTCGGGCTTGACAACTCTCAATTTTTTGTATATTACAGAAAATTATTCATTTTGGTTTTCAAATCGACGAGAAGTATGTCCCTGCAGATTTGAAATTAAAGTGGGGGTGTTGTGCCATTGAAATGCACAAAAGCAAGACGAGGATATGTAGACATTCTAGTTTGTGTAAAGAAAATGGATTGAGAGACCATATTTATAAAAGTTGTAGAGCAATAAGGACCTTACATACATGATCATGTCTGCATGATATACTTCGGAGATACATCTCCGAATCTGTTTTTTTTTCAAAAAATAAGGGTCTCTTCGGAAATGCAACTCCAAATGATTTTCTGTTTCTCTTTTTTTAAAACTAATTAAGGAATATCCGAAGATGCATCTCCAGATCTATCCAAAAAGTATACAGAACAAAACCATGGTAATTATGCAGAGCAAAATTTGAAAAACAAGAAATGTCCAAAAAGTACCATCCAATTTTATAATATTATGCAGTGTGTTACTTACAAAAAACATGTTGCATCTCAGATCTTGCTCCTCTTAACGCCTTGCTGTCTCGAGCACGAACATTGTATATTTGCTTGATATTTGAAACGTTTAGAGGTCTTTTCCATTTCAAAGACGCGAGTATGTTTTTTGGCGCCGCCGTGTTTAATGTCATGTCTGAAACAAGTTTCCTTTCCTCCGAACAAGGCAACATACAATGAGTTGATCGAATAGATTGTCATCCAAGCCATAATTATGTATACCAAAAATCACATTAAATTTTCATGTCTCATCCGCCATACAATATCTGCATAATTTAAATGAACACTCACATTTTATCAATCCCGTGTTATCTCTTTTCAACTTCCTAATCTTTGGTTGGTACGTGTCACTATCATTGTTACAAATGTTTGTATACTATCCGAATCATTATCAGACCTTCCAATTACAACGCCAAACTCCAATTTTCCAGCCTCCCTACGGACCCATTATAGCATATGTTCACAAACAAAAAATCCTTCTTTATTTATAAATTACGCACGAACATTTACATCATTCGCTTCTTCCGGTTAAACATCATTATTCACTTTTTCCAGTTGAACATCATCATTCACTTTATTCGGTTCGACATCATGCTTCACTTCCATTGACTTAACATCCACACTCATATTAGCTTTAGGAAACATATCCGGGTGCATCATGTCTATTACCACCAATAACAAAAAAATAACGTTAAAATTCAAACTATCAGGACACTTTGGAGATGCACATTTGAATCACACCAAACTTCATCCAGAGATGCATCTTCGAACTCAACGTTCGTCTTTTAGCTTCAAACTTGGATTAATTCAAGGAATGAGGGATGAAAAGAATGATCTACACCTGCAATTCCAGCTTGTTTTGATTTATTTGAAGTGATGAAAAACAAGAAAGATGTTTTGGTGTTGAAAAGATGATTGAGAATGAGAGAGCTTTTTTCAAGAGTTTTGCAATGGTTTCTTGTTTTAGTATGAAGAAGATCGTGCAAGGTGGTATTTTATCAACCTTTCCGCTGGACATTTCCGGAGATGTATTTATGGAAATGTCACTGACTTGTTATTTAAATCAATTGCATGAATAACAAAATATCATAAATAAGTGCAGGGGTATTTTAGAGATGTATTTCTGGATACACCCAAATAGTATACGAAGATGTATCTCTAGACTATTTTTTTCTAACTGGGGTTAATCTCAGAAAAGAAAAGATTGACATGATCTTTGGTGCGTCTTAAGATACATTTCCGGATGCATGAAGAACAATTTTGAATTTTCAAAGGTGTGATATGCTCATGTAAGGGTGGAAAGAGCATTTCCCTTACATGAAGGGAAAACAACATAGAGAGGTGATTCTCAACAAGAATTATTGGAAGAGAATTTCTTAGTACACCCTTATATGAGTGAAAAAACCCTCTGAAAACTCCAAAATATCCTTCGAATATGCATATCCGGATGAACCCCTAAATCAATTTTTAAAGTGTTTCAGATATGCATATCTGAAAACTCCTTGTTTACACGTTATAATTATTTAATCGTTGGATTTAAAAATTCAGTGATATTTTCAGATATGCATATCCGAAATCACCAAATAGGTTTTTCGGATATGCATCTCCGAAACCCTGGGCAAAATGTGTTTATCACATAGTTTTTAATAACAAATCAATGTCGATATTTAATAAACACAACGATTTGACACATAATTTGTTTAAATAATATAAAAGCTAAAATAACGAAAACCAAAAATGATAGGAACAAAAATTGTTCACAAATACCAGAAATTAACACATAAATTGTTTAGAAAGTAAGGAATGTAAAATGATTACATCGATAAATATAAAAAAGACATAGTCTACTGCATATGCCTAATCCTAACCCCTGGCCCCTCCTTTGCCTCCTGTAAGCCGTTGCACTCGATGCCTCCCTAACCATCCTCTCTATGATTGCCACCACCTCAGGATCGCCCCTCTCAATGATCCCTAAGTCCAAAGCCTCCTGCCCAATCAAATTTATCCGCTGACAAATCAACAATACATCAATGGAATGGTCATCCTATGCCTGTTGGTTCTCCAAGATCTCCCCATGAGTTGGCCTAGATGGACGTCCAGGAGCATCCAATGTCATAATAGGGTGTGACACTATGTAGAACCATGTCACATATCCCTCTACACAATGCCAACTGCTGGATGCCCGCATAATCCGACACTCCTCTGACACCATATGATTCTCCTAATTCTGGAAGATGCCATTAAGCTCTTAACGAGAAATTGTGTCACGAACATCCTGAAAGGAAGATCAGGGTGTGGTCTGCATATATCCATACTGTCAGATGCATCACTTTGGAAGATATCTGACTATAGTGTTAGTCTCACATGCCATCCACCTTGAGTATAATGAGATGGGGTCGAAGAGGATAGTCTCCCAGTGATCATAAAACAATGTCTAGCTGATGTTA